AGCTGAAAAATCCTCCTGTTCTCGGGATTGTAGCTAACCAAACACTTCGAAATGTGTAGTAGAAGTGGCATCGTTCCTTCTAAATAAAGTCGAACCCATGTAAACACTGGGTTCTGAGATCATTTTGCCATCTGGGAGCTCACGAGCACCGCTGGGGCACCACCTGCCCTCTGTTCACCCTGCGAGGGGCAGGGGACTCTGCCCTTCGCTCCTCCTGGTCCCTGTCCTCTTCCCTGAGAGCTTCATTCCTTCTGAAGCCCCAAGAGGCCCTGCCTTCTGCACCTCCCTGGAGGCTGATGCCCTCAAGCCTGCCCCACACCCTGAGGCCTTGCAGGACACTCCTGTGGTCCTTGCAGGACTCAATGCTGAGCAGTTGAAAGCATTCGAAAATGATGGGTACATGGCAAAAATTGGTGGCATGGAGTGAGTTAGAAGACATGAGACTTCGAAGAAGTGTGTGTCTCATGCAGATAAGTTTGGCAATGTTCCCTGCCCTAAACCCAGTCTCCCCGACTGAGGGGAGGGAGCTTCACCTTCCTCCATCCCCAGGGTGTAAGAGTTAAAGAAAGAGGAAAGAAACATAAAAAGTGGCTCAACAGTTAAAGACAGGATTATTTTGGAGAATAAACCTGAGAGGGGATTTTGGCCAATTTTTTTTTTTTAGTCAGGAGCATTTTCTTTCACAGACTAAGGGTATTTAAGGGCTTAGGAATGCGGGAGCTTATTTCAGGCTCTGAATGTTTCTATGTGAGGGAAAGTTTATTGCAAGGTTGAATGTCTCTGATCAGAGGGGAGGTTATCTCAGGGTTGGCATGTTTCTGGTTGTGGGGGATAGTTTATCTTAGGGTTGGAATGTTTCTGGTTTTGCTAACATTAGCCATCTGGCTGTTTTGGGGCTGGATTTAGGTGGTTTTTTAATTAAGGGGAACTTAAAATGGTGGTATTTGTCCAAGATGGAGAAGCTCCTGCTCTGTCAATTCAGTCCCTATATTTACAAAAGGATGAAGCGTGGCCTGTTTTTTTCTGCCTACTTCCTGCTGGGGGAGGGGGCCGTGGAGAGTTCTTTAGTCTCAGATTAACTGTAGGAGTAACATGGTCTGTAGATGTTTTTGAGTAACTGTCTGTGAGATGGCCATGATCCTGTCGGTTAAAAATTTTTGAAAAAGGTTAATTAAGCACGGTGAGAACATTAGTTCTAGGCATATTATTAAGAAAGGGCCCAGGAATGAGATGACCCATGTTATGATTTTGTTCCTAAACCAAGAATCTATTCGGTTGTTTTGGTATTTCCTTAGCTTTGTAGCTCTTTAGGTTTTTCAGCAGCATCTTTTACTAGGCCCAATAGGTTGAGATAGGAGTAACATTTCTTCTGACCCAATGAGAGGCAGAGGCCCTCTCTTTTAGCCGTTATAAGATTTAATCCCCATCTCTTTTGAAGAACCACTCCAGCCAAGGAATCTAGTTGGTCTTGGACTTTTATAAGGCTTTAAGCTATACTTTTTAATGAACCCTGCAGTTTTGTGGAAAGAGCTTGAAAGTATGTTAAGGAGATGGTCAACCGGCCTGTTTCCAATTCAAGCCCAGAGGTTATACCTGGGGCACCATTAAAGGAATGACTTGGATGGCCCTTCTTTGTTTAACACATTGGACAGATGGAACAGGTAACGACTGACTAGGAGGAACTAGTCCAATGGAGGGAGAAAAATAAACTAGGGTTTAGGTTCCAGTTCAGTTGGTGGGGAGAGGAAGATACGTGTTGGTGCCTAACAAAAAGAATAAGCCTTTGTTATAAATACAGGTGGAGATATGGAAAGAAAATAAGTGAATTAAAGATGGGGTGGATTTTTTCTGTGGTCTGTTACTCCAGGTGGACAAGGAGGAGGCCAGGGAGACACCCACTATAGTAGAGATATAGGAAGAGTTATTTTTTTCCACATTTAATGTGATCAGATGTTGTACCACTGATACTGAGCCATGGAAAAAGGTGGGAGGGCAACAGGGGCAGGACAAGTCAGGCTGGGAATGTTGGTTGAGGGAGAGGCTGTAAAACAGCTGGTTGCAGAAATGCTCTGTTTGCTTCAGGTGATAGTTGTTAATTAACCCGGTTAGTTTGATGGTCAGAGGGGTGTTTAACGATAGGGTTGCATTGGTTAGACATTAAGGACCCTGCAGGGAAATTTCCCTTACAGGCTGAAAAGCAAAGTGAGGCTTGTTGTAAAAGGGACTGTATTTCGTTATGAGCCTTTTAATGGGAGGGCCTTGGGGCTAGAGGCATTGTAGGGAGTTGTAACAGGTTTGAAACAATTTGTTGGCTTGATTCGCCCTGGAAGTGGGATAATCGCTGACTGGGGTGTCAGCGTTTTTTTAAAAAAAAAAAGCTCCTTTTTGGAATTTATAAATTAGTGTTATGTTTCCCGTTAAAAGGTCATGAAGGTGTGTAGGAAGGGCTGTGTAAGCTGAGGAAGACAGTGTTGTTCACGTTCAGCATTCTGGAGCAAGGGAACAGTGAGCTTGAAGCAAGAGGGATCCCGCAGGGTTTATAGAGCGTTTCAGTTTGCGATCAGTGAGGGGTGGTTGTACTGGTGAGGTTGACGGCATTGGGGCATTTATATTGAAAGAAAGAAGAAAAAGAGAAAATATTTGGGTGGGAGTAAAGTCCTGGAAAGTTCGTTGAAGTCGCAGGTCCCATAGGACAGTAAGGAGCAATCAGGATGTACGATGGGAGCTTCATAAGGGTTCCACTGAAGGTCTGTAACAAGGTCGTTGGGAGGCAATGGCTTATGTGGATTTTTCCTCCTTTTCCTCTGGGATTTGGGCGAGGCAAAGGAAAGTGGGTCCTGTGGAGACATAAGAGAAGGCCGACAGGGTTCTAGATTTGGTTGTTTGGGCATGTGGTGAAGGGAAGTCTGTTTTCTCGAGAAAAGCATAATGAAACCAGTTAGGGAATCCCCAGAGTTTTGCTGCTGTGGGTGGAGTAAGAATGATCTGGTAAGGTCCCTTCCATTTAGGTGTGAGGGGGACTTGGGGGTAGGATTTGGATTTTTTACCAGAGCCCGGTCTCCTGGCTGTAGGAAAGGATTAGAGAAGTCGGTGGCTGGCCGTGGCAGGTATTTGTCAGCATATTCCTGAATGAAATGGCTGTGGTATGTAGAAGAGGGGAAATGAGAGAGCTTGGTAGAGGTGGGGCTTGATGCTGACGTGCAGCAGAAGAGCCAAACGGTTTCCCATACACGAGTTTAAGGGGGCAGGGCATTAAAGGTTTCCATGGGAGGGCCCACATTTTTGGAAGGGCCAAAGGCAAAAGTGTAACCCAGTCTTTATGTGTTTGGAGTGAGTACCTGGTGAGGGTGTTCTTTAGAATTCCATTCATTTTTTTTAACTGTTCCTGAAGATTGAGATTGGCAGGGGATGTGTAGCTTTCAGGTAATTTGTAGGGCTTGTGCAAGTGTTTGATGTTTTTTGCAATGGATAACTGTAAGCCTTTTTGAAAGTAGGGCTGCCTTTAATAGGTAGTGGATGAGTTTCCCATTAATTATAGGGGTTCCCTTAGCCATGAGATACCCCTGCTTATTCTAAATGTGGGTGCCGGAATGGATGATGTTATAGGCATATTTGGAATTGGTGTGTAAATTAACCTGTGTGTTTTTTGCTAGGGTTAACACTCTTATTAGGGTAACTAATTTTTCTTGTTGCATGGATGAGCCCAAAGGCAAGGGGACAGTCTTAATGACTTTTCTAGGTGGCAGAGAGTGGGTGTTATTATATTTTTCAAAGATGGCATCTCCTGCTTAGAGGGGAAGGTTTTTTGATGCGTTGCTATCTATAAACCAATCTGGGGCTCCTTTTATGTGAGTGGAAGTAAGGTAGTGAAACATGGTGAGAGAACTTTTAGTTAGATTAGAGCACTAGTGTTGGTTTGGTTTCATCATTGGTGTTGAAAGTAAAATACTGGCGGGTTAAGTGGAGAGCACTTATGGAGAGAGAGAGAGTTGAAGGAAAGTTGAATATAAGGCTTGCATGCGAGAAGATGAGATGAAGGTGAGTTCCTTATGGCTGAGCGTATCTTGTAGAATGTGAGAATAAAATACCTGAAGTGGTTTGTAGAATGTGAGTTTTTGTGCCTTAGGGATAATTACAGAAGCTTCTCCCAGCTCAGCACTGCAGGGTGTATGCTGACGCCCAGGACTCACCATGGTAGATTCCAGCTGAGAGGTCATAACTGAGAGCCCATGACCTCCCACAACAGGACAATGAGAGCACCAGGTCCTGGCAGCTCCCAGGGACATGGCTCACCCCCCTCCAGGGTAGGAACCCAGCTTGGCTCCCGCAGGAGTGAGGGGCTGTTAATCACAATGCTGGCTCTCGAGCAGGCCAGGCCAGCCAGCCACTGTTTGATGGTAAAATTATTAATATTCTTGCAGACACAGCTGCATCATTCCTGGTGCTCAAGTCCTGGAACCACTCTGATTCCTGCCTTTTTCCAGGGCTATTTGCCAGCTCAGTACCCCTGCCTTCCAGCTCTTTCTGTGAGGCACTGTGTATTTCATCATCAAAGTCCTTTTCTGCCTAACCTAGATAAACTGGGTCTGTCTTGATGGCGAAGAGCCTGAATTGATACCAAGGTGTTTGTGTTCATCTTAGATTTGTCTGTTACTTATGTATTACACGCAGGGCCAGACACTTTCTAAGTGAATAATAAATATGAACTTGTTAATCCTCACAATAATCCAGAGTGTTATCTCCATTTTACAGAGGAAACAGTGCAGGGGAAGGATAAACAGCTTGGCCAAGCACACAGTGCCAGCAAGTAGACACATTCAGGAGCTGGGCTTCTACCTATATGAGCTACATTCAGTCTGTGCTCTTAAACGCTAGCCTGTGCTGCCTCTCAGTACAAGTTAGTATTGCTCACAAGACCAAAAATGCTAGCCAATAACAATTCAGTTTTGATGAAAAGATGAAAGCTGTAGCATGGATGATGTAGAGCTGTATTTATTGATGTGACAATGTCCATTGTATATTATTAAGTGAAAAAAATCGATTAGCATTTGTATTTATTAAGATGGTATACCCACTGCCTCCCCACTCCCTGCCTCCCAAACACACAACCACATTACGAAGCCTAGAATCACTTGCATCAGAATGTCAACCACGGTGATTCTTCTAACCTGGGGAGGCCACCAAGCTCTGGGTTCCTTAGTGGTATGAGGTGTGAGCTGCAATAGCTTGGAGCTTTGGAGGGGATGCTCTGACATGCTCCAGACCATTGAACCCCTGAAAGCTTACCTATCAGGCACATCTCTGAATCTTTGTAACATTTCTCTCTCACCACCTGCAGTGTCTGTGACTTAACAAGTCATTCAGAATAGTCAACATTTCTCACTTATCAGCATACATAGGACAGGATGTGGCCACAGCTGGAGACTACCTCCAGCCTGACTCCTGGGAGTACAGAGTAGCCACACACCACATCCTTGGTCCTGCTTTGAGGCAAGGGGGTTGGCCTCAGGCCACGGGGTGTCACCTCCACGTGAAGCTGGTTCCATTAGACCCAGGGTAATACTCTGGGGACTGCCGGCATTAGCAGCCACCACTCAGCAGTGGTGGATGAAAAGACCTGGCCATAAGAGGAGATGGTGCCAGGACACGAACAGCTTTGCAGGGGAGTGAAAAATGGCTTCCCTCTATCCTGTTAGGTTCTTTGGCTGAGCTACGAATGAATTAAATTGACATAAGCAGATTAACAGGAGGAAAAAAAAAATTTTAATTATATATGTATACACAGGAGTTCCATGAAATACAAGACTCCAAGAAGGGTTAGATGATTGACACGCAAACACCATCCTGAGCTATTGAAAAGAATGGGGGCCTGGGGCTTCTGCAGGGAGGTGGCCAGACAAGTGGGAGGGGGAAAGGAAGAAGTGTGTCCTGAATCAAGCGTGGCTGGTTTTTCAGATAAAAGGTCTTGTGAGTAATAAATGTCTGGAGCAGCCCTCAGGAGAAGAGGTGAGATTCTGTCTGTGCTGGTGTCACCTCCCACCTCCTTCCCTATGGTCCCAGTTACCCTTTCCTGGCTGATGAGATTGTTGGTGATGGGATTCATGATGATCGAATTTCTTTTGAAGGATTTGTCTTTGGGCAGACGAATGCTTTCAGCATCCACTAAACCAATTAATTAATCCCATTTGTTTCCTGAATAGCAAACACTTCCTTCAAATTCTTCTCAAATTCAGCCTCCAGTCGAAGTCCCATTTGGCCAAAATCCTTGTACTAGAAAAAAAATAATAAAGACAAAAACAATGTTCCTCATGATTAGTGTCATTAGACACCTTTCAACTGAAATGATCAGGGCTCTTGTCTTTAAAAAATAAAGCCCTGTAAGTTGACAATTGGTAATGGTATATATTTTGGAGTATAAAGTAATGTTGTGATTTATGACTGCTATGTGGAATCATCAAATCAAACTAATTAACATACCCACACCTCAAATTGTTATTATTTTTGTGGTGAGAACATTTAAAATTTACTCTCTTAACAATGCTGAAGTGTAAAATACACTATTGTTAAGTATAGGACTCTTGTCTTAAACACGCTAAGTTACATTAACCAGGTTAAACTTGAAAACTCACACAGCTAAAGTAACTTCTGTTTTTTACCAGCATGATTCTTACTAACAGGGCAGAAAAGTGAAGTCATTTGCATAGTTGGGATTATTACTTATTTGGCTTCGGTTGCTTATTTCAGTGGGTTAGAAAAGTAATCTATGCTTTTTCGACAATTCAGATAGTGGAGCGTATAAGGTAAGATCACTGATTTCTTCCTTTCTCCATCACTTCTACTCCTTGCTGGCAATCCCTGTTAACCATATGGTCTATTCACATGCAAAGTAATATAGAGTTTGGGATTTCTGAGATTGGGGGCAGATAAGAAGCACAAAACCACTTCGAGATGAAATTCTTCTCTTTATATGCTGCAGCAGACAGGACTCAATTGCTCTCTCTGAGCTCCTGTCACCTCTGGGGCGGGTGGGGATGAGCTCTCAGGAACCAGAGTTCTGGTTGCAGGGACACCTTTGGACTCACTGTTACTTTACTATGATGAGCTAAGTCCTGAACTGAAAAAAATTCACTCACTTTCAGGACCTTGCTTGTGCAAGCTTATTACATACAGGATGAGGGAAACTAATTTTCTAGGCACCAGGAAATGAGGGGAAGAATGCAAAGAAACCGAATGGAAGCAGGAAGAGCCACCTACCTTGTATGATGCCCTGTGGTTCTGGAAGATGAGGCGCATGTCTCGTACAAACCCCTCCACTCGGGAATAATCGTGCTCATTCAGCCTCTTCTTGATTTTATCCAACCACATGGGCTCCTTCAGGCCTTGACACGCCTCTCTAATCTGGCGACAAAAATACCAGTGGGAAGGCTACCAGCACAGTTCAATCTCTACCTTCTGTGGCTTCCCATAAAATCCAGCAGAAATGCAACAAAGTGAAGGTAACTAATGACAACTTGTGCTCTTGCTCCATAGGATTAAAATCACAAATCTCACAAGCGTCCATTTTTTTTTCAGGGTCAGGTAATGTCATGGCAGCCTGTAATCATGGGTTGCTGTTGTTACTTACATAATAATAATACGGAATCTTGGCAAAAAAGGAGCTCTCAGAACAGCAATAGAGTTTCAAGAGGAGGAATTCACATTTCTGCAAAAGAAAGAGGCTGTAAATGAAAAGCAGCGTGGAGAGAGTGAGTCCACATGCATGTCCAGACAGCACAGGACTCACACCCTTCTTCCACAGATTTCTCTAACATGCGTGGCTCTTGGAAACAGACATGTCATGGCTGAGTTATTTTTTCTGCAAACAAGTTGTAGTGGTCTATCAGTGCAACTAAAGTGTGGCTCTCAAGAGCACACTTTTGGTGCATTCCCCTGACCCTGCGCTTGTTCATGCTTTTCAAGTGTAAGGGGAAAGGAGAAGGCTTGGGCTTTGTATCCGACTCACCGACTGTTCCTCAGGACACATCTGCCTCTCCAGGACCTCAGATTCCTGACAGCACTGTTGACTTCCTGCAGACTCCTTCATCCTGCAGAAGATGCAACTCCACGGGGTCCTGAGAGATTGGACTTAGGTGAGCAGAGGGCAGGGACCCTGGAAATACCCTGTGGCTGCCACTGTCCTCCTTCAGGAATAGCCGATGGCCTCAGCCATGGGAGGGAGGGCAACACCTTCAGAACTGCACGTGGGGTCTCCAGCCATTGGCCTTTCCCTTGCGTCATTGGTAGCAGCAGGTGGGAAGCCTGAGGAAGGTGGTGTCACTGTGAGTGTGGCTCTCCTTTCTCTGTCTGAGCTGCTGAGAGCACAAGGAGCCCTGCTTACCAGGCCTGAGCATCAGAAACTGGATTTTCAGCTCCAGGGACCTCGGGCCTCCATCAGCCCAATGGGATCATGCTTCCTGTCTTGTATGAATAAGCCCAAAATATAGTTCCCACGCCCCTTTGGACAGGAGACCTTGCTGCAAAACTTGAAGGAAAGGACAATACCAGTATATAGGCAAAGGGTCCCCAACCTGGCCTCAGCGTATCAGAGGAGGCATCCCTGAGAGCACAGAGAACATTAACCTCCTGCTGCCAGCATCTCCCACTGCTCTCTGGATCACACTGCTGGGTTCCAGTACCCAAGGAACCTGCTCCTTCCCCAGCTAAACACAAGCAGGCACTCTGCTGGGGAGAGCACATGGCAGGTGGAAGGTCCCTTAAAGGATGAAAGAGAGGCACCTGCATGTCACTCACTTCTCAGTTTCCACAGGTGGGATGTGGCAGTCCTCATGGAAGACTCTTGAACAAGTGTCGCAACAGAACAGTTCCCCTCCGTCCCGGCAAACCTCGCACTCATCCAAGTTTCCCATCTAGAAGGTAAAACAGTGTCCACGTCACAGGGATCTGCCACCTGTGACAGATTCAGGAAGGCCCCCCTCTGGGCACTGCCTTTGCATAACCTGCATCAACAGGCATTTGCTTCTCACTGGGGTATGCAGGAGAATCATGGCCTGGAGATTTCAGAACAAATCCTAGTCTGTAGTGAAGTTCAGGAGGAAGGGGTATGTGTCAGAATTGAAAAGTTTTCCTTATAAATCCAGAGATTATAACACAAAAAGACTAGCAACAAAGCAAAAGGATGATTTTTAGGAATCTGAGTAATTGTATTATGCTGCAGATAAAAGCAGGTGTTGAAATAAAGTATTAAATCCATTTGCCTATACCACAAGTCAACTGGTGGAAAGGAGAATTATATATGCTGGAATAAGCTTCTGAGATGTCATCACTTCCCATAAGCTTGGCCCTAAGTTCCCCATGAGTTGAAGAGATGGCCTAGTTAGGGGTTCCTGGACTGTAGGTTCTGTGCCAGGAGGGCTGTGCGCCTACCCCTGAGGGGGAAGGACCATGGGTGTAGATGACCAGGTGGGCCCCTGGGATCACAGAGCTCTTCGGCTCTGGGAGCCTGGCAGAAGATTTCCCCCATGACTCAGCTAACTTGGATTGCAAGATGTGAAGATGTCATTTCTAATGAGCAAGGACAGTGGTAACAATAACCATACAGTGTTGAAGATGGAGGCCCTGCCTTCATTTCCTGGGCCCATAAAAGAGCTGGTGCTTTGTTCTACAAAAAGAATGGTGCATCAACCAATTCTGCATTTCTCACCAGTCTCAATATGCGAGACCTTTAGCCAGGGTTAATTTCATTCGGGGAAGTTACCATCCACGTGTTGTGGAGCAAATCCCAGTCACTAATAACCAACAGAATTTATAGAGCAAATACAGAGACCAATACACATATGCTGTATTGTAAATACACGTGTATTCATGACAAAGAACCAGTCTGTGACGGAGCCCTTTGTCATTCAAGGGAAAAGTGCTATGAGGACTGCAATTACAGTTTCATGTTATGTGCAGCCTGGACATCTGATGACTCTGGGAGGGCCCAGAATGGCCTAATCTACAAGTTCTTCCCCGGCTCTGCTGTGGCAGGTAAGGTTTCCTACCAACACTTCTTGATCAAGAGGACTGCTTGCAAGTTCTGCTTATTTTTGAATCGCTGATTTCATTTCCCTCCCAGCCACGGAATTATTCAAACAAGCCAATCACACTCTCTTTCTGGAAGCAGGGGATGGCCCATCCTCCAGAGCCATTGGCTGTTCTCTCTGTTTCTGAGCGCAGCCCCCATGTGGCCCTGTGTGATGTGGGATGCCTACCCATCCCCACCGGGCTATTAGTAAATGTGACTAATCACGTGCTCTCAATCTCATCTGTCCAGTGACAAATGTTGTGTGTTCCACCATCTCCAGAACCCTGGGTGGGAATGAAGTACCGAAGCTTAAGTATGTCAAATCCTTAGCCTTCTAAAAAATTATTTCTACAGTTTTGGGGTAACAGGTGGTGTTTGTTTACATGTATAATTTTTTTTAGCGGTGACTTTTGAGATCTTGGTGAACTCATCACTAGAGCCCTGTACACTGTACCCAGTGTGTAATCTTCTATCCCTTACTCCCTTCCACACTTCCCTCTCAGTCCCCAAGGCCCATTGTATCACTTATGCCTTTGCATCCTCATAGCTTAGCTCCAACTTATAAGTGAGAACATACAATGTTTGATTTCCCATTCCTGAGTTACTTCACTTAGAATAATGGTCTCCAACTCCATCCAGGTTGCTATGAATGTCATTATTTCACTCCTTTTATAACTGAGTAGTATTCTATAATATGTGTATATATGTACACACACACACACATACACACGCATGTGCAAGTGTCTTTTTAATATAATGACTTCTTTTCCTCTATGTAGATACCCAGTAATGTTATGAAATCCTTGGGGTGTTGCTTTTTCTTACCAGAAATCTCCGTAGTCTAGTTTTGCCTGAGTTTTGCTCGGGCCTGCTGGGATCCTTCCACCCACTTGGCCTGGCAGGCTGTGCCTGGCTCAGGCTACCAGCCTGGATCCCACACCTACCAAGAGCGGGTCAGGCATGGAGCTGGGAGGGGTATGTAAGCAAGCATGGGGTATAGCCAATGCACACAGTCAGACATGCCTGCTGTTGTATAAGGGCAGGCAACTCCAGGGGCTGGCATGGGCACTGGCTCTCTGTGAGGCCGTGTCTGGACCAGGCACACTGCAAGCAGCTTCCATGGCTGGCACCAGGAAATGTGGTGGCACCTGGAAGCTTGAAGATGACAGGAACCACAGGGCCTCCAAAGGGAGTCACAGCCCTGGCTAGGGGAGCTCCCAGGACGGGGCTCCCCAAAGAGCTGCAACCCCTCTCTCCTCTTCACCCACAATGCAGCAAGCAAGGGGCATGTGTTACAGCTCTTTTAGCCTTGGCATTCAGTGGATCCTGAGTTCTTGTCCTGCGACCAGGAAGAATGAGGCACGCAGACAAGTGGAGGGTGAGAAAGATGAAGAGGAGCTTTCCTGAGCAGAAGAACAGCTCAGAGACCCAATTATTTTTTTTATTTTTAAATTATGGCCATTCTTGCAGGAGTAAGGTGATATTACATTGTGGTTTTGATTTGCATTCCCTGATAGTGATGCTGAGCATTTTTTCATGTTGGTTGGCCATTGGTATATCTTCTTTTGAGAATTGTCTATTCATGTCCTTTGCCCATTTTTTGATGTGCTTATTTGCTTTTCTCTTGCTGATTTCTTTGAGTTCCTTGTAGATTCTGGATATTAGTCCTCTGTCAGACGCATAGTTTGCAAATATTTTCTCCCACTCTGTGGGTTTTCTGTGTACTTTGCTGATTATTTCTTTTGCTGTATAGAAGCTTTTTAGTTTAATTAAGTCCCATCTGTCTTTGTTTTTCTTGCATTTGCTTTTGTGTTTTTGGTCCTGAACTCTTTGCCTAAGCCAATGACTAGAAGAGTTTTTCTGATGTTATTTTCCAGAATTTTTAATGTTTCAGGTCTTAGATTTAAGTCTTTGATCCATCTTTAGTTGAATTTTGTATAAGGTGAAAAATGAGGATACAGCTTCATTCTTCTAAATTTGGCTTGCCAATTATGCCAGCATTATTTGTTGAATGGGGTATTCTTTTCCCCCTTTATGCTTTTGTTTGCTTTGTCAAAGGTTAGTTGGCTATAAATGTTTGGCTTTATTTCTGAGTTCTCTCTTCCATTCCATTGGTCTATGTCTCAGTACTGCTATATTCTCAGTACATAGTACATATACCCAGACTCTGCTGTTTTGGTGACTATAACCTTGTAGTATAGTTTGAAGTCAGGTAATGTGATGCCTCCAGATTTGTTCTTTTTTCTTAGTCTTGCTTTGGCTACACAGGCTCTTTTTTTGGTTCTATATTAATTTTAGAATTGTTTTTTCTAGTTCTGTGAAAGATGATCATGGTATTTTGATGGGAATTGCATTGAATTGGTAGATTGTTATTGGCAGTATGATCATTTTCACAATATTGATTCTACCGGTCCATGAGCATGGGGCACGTTTCTATTTGTTTGTGTCATCTGTGATTTCTTTCAGCAGAGTTTTGTAGTTTTTTGTAGTTTGTAGAGGTCTTTTACCTCCATGGTTAGGTATATTCCTAAGCATTTTAATTTTTTGCAGTTAATGTAAAAGGAGCTGAGTTCTTGATTTCTCAGCTTGGTCGCTGTTAGTGTATAGCAGGGCTACTGATTTGTGTACATTAATTTTGTATCCTGAAGCTTTACTGAAATCATTTATCAGATCTAGGAGGTTTTTGGATGAGTCCTTAGGGTTTTCTGGGTATATGATCATATTGGTGACCAGCAACAGTTTGACTTCCCCTTTACTGATTTGGCCACCCTTTATTTCCTTTTCTTGTCTGATTTTTCTGGCAAGGACTTCCGGTATCATGTTGAACAGAAGGGGTGAAAGTAGTCATCCTTGTCTTGTTCCTGTTCTCAGCAGGAATGCTTTCAACCTTTCCCCATTCAGTATTATGTTGGCTCTGGATTTGCCTGAATACCTTATTTTCTCACTGTGTGTGTTTTTTTTAATAGGCCCTATGATATTCAGGCTTTAAGGGGGTTCTATTTTGGTATATTTTGATGTATTGTTTTGAGATTTAGAATTTCTTTTACCAGTTCTTGTAGCACTGGCTTGGTAGTGGTGAATTCTCTCAGCATTTGTTTGTCTGAAAAAGACTTTATCTTTCCTTTGTTTATGAGCTTAGTTTCTTGGATACAAAATTCCTGACCGATAATTATTTTGTTTAAGGAGGCTACAGATAGGATCCCAATCCATTCTAACTTGTAGGGTTACTGCTGAGAAATCTGCTGTTATCTGATAGATTTTTCTTTGCAGGTTAGCTAATGCTTTTGCCTCATAGCTCTTGAGATTCTTTCCTTTGTCTTGACTTTAGGTAACCTGATGACTCTTTGCCTGGGTGATTATCTTTTTGTGATGAATTTTCCAGATGTTCTTTGACCTTCTTGTATTTGGATATCTAACTGTCTAGAAAGGCCAGCAATATTTTCTTTGATTATTCCCTCAAATATGTTTTCCAAACTTTTCGATTTCTTGCTGAGGAACACCAATTATTCTTAGGTTTGGTCATTTATCATAATTCTAAACTTCATGGAGGTTTTGTTGATTTTTTAGAAAGTTATTTTTCTTTGTTGGATTGGGCTAATTTGAGAGCCTGGCCTTCAAGTTCTATAGTTCATTCTTCTACTTGCTTTAGTCTATTGTTGAAACTTTCCAGTGTATTTTGTATTTCTCTAAGTATGTCTTTCATTTCCAAAAGTTTTAATTTATTTTTATTTATGACATCTATTTCCCTGGAGACTTTTTTATCTATATCCTCTATTTTTATTTTAATTCCTTTAAGTTGTTTTACACCTTTATCCAGTTTCCCCTTGAGTAGCTTAATAATCAGCTTTCTGAATTCTTTTTCTGGCAATTCAGAGCTTTCTTCTTGGTTTGGATCCATTGCCGGAGAGCTAATATGATCTTCTGGGGATGTTATAGAACCTTGTTTTGTCATTATCAGAATTGTTTTTCAGGTGCCTTCTCATTTGGGTAGACTATGTTAGAGGAAAGATCTCTAACTCAACGGCTGCTGTTCAGATTCTCTTGTCCCACAGAGTTATCCCTTGAGGTGGTGCTCTCCCCTCTCCCATAGGGATGGGGCTTCCTGAGAGCCAAACTGCTGTGATTGTTATTGTTCTTCTGGGTCTGGCCACCCAGCAGAGCTTTTGGGTTCTGGGCTAGTACTGGGGAATATCTGCAAAGGGTCCTATGATGTTTTCTGTTCTCAGTCCTCCCAATCATGGGCACTAGCATTGGCTCTGGTGGAGGCAGCAGGGGAGTGAAGTGGATTCTGTGAGAGTCCTTGGTCATAGTTTTGTTTAGTGCACTGGTTTTCTCAAATGCTGGTTATGCTAACAGTGAAGCTATCACAGGGACAGACTCAGGACCTCTGGGTAGCCAGATGTTAAGGCAGTAGAATGCACTGTTGTTTTCTCCTTCCTGCAGCAAGGTTGTTCTGTTATGAGTGGCTGTCATGACTTGAGTTGGCTGGCCTTCAGCCAGGAGGTAGCACTTTCAAGAGTGCATCAGCTGCAAGTAGTATGGGGGAGATACAAGCTTGACCTTAGGTCACTGGATAAGTATTTAGGTTTCTCGGGTGAAGGGTGAGGTCACAGATCTTCCATGAGTCTACGCCTTTTGTCTTCAGTTCCAGGGGCAGGTAGAGAAAGACCATCAGTTGGGAGCAGGGTTAGGTGTGTCTGAGCTCAGACTCTCAGGCAGGGCTTGCTGTGGCCACTGTCGGGGATGAGGGAGTGGTTCTCAGGCCAATGGAGTTATGTTCCAGAAGGGATTATGGCTGCCTCTGCTGCTTCACACAGTCTGCCAGAAAAGTAGGGGAAGCCAGCAGTGACAGGCCTCACCCAGCTCCCAGGTAGCCAGAAAGGCCAGTCTCACTCCCACCATCCTGGTGCCCTAACAGCCAACAGAACAAAATTTACATCCAGGCCTCCTATGCCTGGAGCTAAGATCTTGCCCCAGGTTACAAGCCTTCCCAATGAGAAAGCAATCAGGGCTTTCAGGTCTCACCCCTCCCTGTCTGCCTTGGCTTCTGTGCATATATCTGTACTTCAGGTTCACACCCTTCAGATTCTGACCAGGAAAATTTGTGCTTAGTCAAAATTACTACAAAGTTCGGCTAGAAGCCTCCTTCTCCCCATGACCCTCCCCAGATTGTATCTCACTGACTGCCCTCCCCAAGGACTCCTGTGAGATAAAGTCAGAAATGACTTCCCTGCGGACCTGCCTACAGGAGTTCTTTGAGGGAGAGAGCTCTTCCTGCTGCTGTTTCTACTTTTATATTTCAGCCAGCTCCCTAAATTCATTTCAGGTCTAGGTTAGGTTAAATCCTTCTCCTGTGATCTGGATTTCCAGGTTCCCCAGTGAGGCTGTGTGTTCAGAGATGGACTTTCTCCCTCTCACACTTTGGGAACTCTCAGTTTTTCGGCTGTCTCATGGAATTTGCAGTGGCAAGCTACTTCTTTCAAAGGGTTCTGATTCCTTCAGTTTTTCTGGTATATTCCTGGGGTGGTTCTTGGGGCAAAAGTTTACAGTGTGTCTCTCAACATGCTGTTCTGTCCATCTGAACAGGAGAAGCAAGTTAGTCCTGCCTCTCATATGCCTTTGTCCCCCCTTCCAAACCCATATATTTTCAAGAAGAGATTTGATTTCTCTGGTTCTTTGGTCGTTGGCTGGCTATGCATTAGACTCATCTCAGGAGAGTACAGAAAATGCTAACGTCCTGAACCCAACACCAGAGATTCTGAATCAATGGGTCAGGGTTGAGGCGCAGGCACTGATGTTCTTCTTTGTGACAGAATGGGCAAGTCTATGTATCAGAATTGGTACATCGGGGGATCTTCAAAAAATTCTAATGTTCAAGTCATAAGTAGTACAGACTGATTAAATCAGAATTTCCCCAGAAGTGGGAAACAGGAAACAATATGTTTTTAAAGCTCCTCAGGTGATTCCAGGCTGCAGGACAATTTGAGATACAACCTGAGCAAAGTCTGGTTATGGAGGCATGGGGATGTTATAAGTCAATGTTGTTACTGGCCTTGGAAAACTGATTAACAGAGGTGACCATACCTTTGCTGGAACTGTTTCACTCTTTTCCCCACATACATCTGGCTGTCAGCTGTGAAACCTAAACCTCCACGTCTAGCCCATACAAAATCAGCCACACAAACACTGACTTCCAGGGCTGTTTTAACCGCTCATGAATCCCTGAATTGGCTGAGCATCGAATCAGTGTGGATAAGACCTAAATCTTGTTGGAGGATTGCTTTGGAGGTAAGGTGTATATAAAACTATTTGCTTATCCCTCCTCTGTTAAGTATCATGTGTCAGTGTTATTGCATGATATTCTGTGTGAGTGCTGCCCCCTATAGTTGTCCAAGAAGGTGACCCTGCCTAAAATAGACATTTCACTGCAATGAAAACAATCAAACCACAACTTCATTTACAGAAGGGACCCATCTATGATTTCAGCAGAACCCAAAGCAGGCAGCCATATAGCAAGCAGAGAATGGATGGGGCCCATGGGATCAGAAGGTGTGCATATTACTGAGCACCAGATAAGCAGTTGAGTAAAAATGCCTCATGATTTGCTAGGTCATGATGGTTTCAGTCCTAACCAGCTCAGCACCCTAACGGTTTCCCTGAGTCATTCCTTTATAGGACTAATGACAGGCTCCGCACCTTGAACGTAATAGCTTGGCCTGGCCTGTTCCTTCTGGCTGATGCTTAACACCATCTTTAGCTCTACCTGCAACTTGGAGTGCATTTTTGGGATTTTCCCTTTCATCCACACCACTTACTTGAAAATGCTCTTATCCTCTCACATTTGCTCCTTCCCCCTAATCACCAAGCCAGCCCTACCCATTACCACTTCAAGCTTTGTCTCTAGAAACCACAGGGGTCTAGAGCTCAGCCTCCTATACTCACTTTCCAGGGGAAATAAGGACTTTGGAAGGATTCCACTGAAACAAAGGGAAAGAGTTCTTTCACACTGAGACAGCCAAGCCCAGACACATATACCTGGCTTCGGTGATGCATCTGGTATTCTTTGCTCATCACACACAGCAACATACTCCAACTGAGACTGAACATATTTCAGAGAACAGCAGGCATGACACAGAACATATGCCTGGAGAAAGGAGTGGGACATTCTGGGAGTAATAGTTCAGAATTTGTACTTACACAAGGGTCAACTGAGGTATTCTTGTGAGACTTCAGTATTCGCTGTTGAAAGAAAGAAAGTTGATTTATAATATTGAATGTGTTGTCTCCGTCGATCACTTATTTAAATTTAAATAGTCATCTTTGAAGGGATTCAGGAACAAGTTGTAAAAAATAACTGGGAAAATAAGAAGGCCAGCAGGCTGGGGTGGCTCCAGTGCTTTAAGTTCCTAAGTAAGCAAACTGAAACCTGATGTAAACAGTAAAATGAAACTAGAGATTTGCCAACTAGAATCCGCCATCTAACCTCTAATTAGCATCTTTCCATGATAACGCATTAAATATAGTTTCTCTGTCTTACTCCTGTGTTGGCCTCACTGTCTGGACTGCTGTAGAAGAGCTCTCTAAACTTCTCTTTGTTCTGAGTGCTGCCCAATTCATGACTTGCTTTTTGCTCCAATAAATACTATTAAGTTTATTTTGTCTAAAGTTTTGTTTTTTTAAACAGTGTTCCCTTTACCTCACCCCTGATTTTATGGGCCTACATATCTACCGAGAGAATGAAAAGTGCCCAAGTATTACCGTTCAGCCCAACGCAAGTCCCATTCCCTGTAGGGAGTCTGGACCTAGTTTGCAAAGGCCAAGTCAGAGAAACTCTACTTGTCCTCTTCCTCCAAGGGGCCCTCAGTCATATCTCCTAAAGCTGGCCTTTGTGTCATCCCACCCAGAGGAGCTGCAAAAACAATCAGGCTGAGGACTCATCCCCCACAGCCTCCAGGGACCTAAGGCTCAGAGTTCTGGAGGCCATGCAAGGGTCCCAAGAAGAAGAACACTGCTTTCTCCAGCCCTCCTAGGGACACAGCCCTGGTGATAAAACACCTCCAAGTTCCTCTGTGCTACAGCTCTTCTTCCTGAAAGCCTCACCCTCTCCCTTCTATACAAATCACAAAAAGATGTCAGCTTGACTGAATTTTCAGAGGTAACCCACTAGATTTATTTAGACTGCTTTTGAGTATCCACTGCATGACTTGGCATCCTTCCTTTCTGGGATACAGACAGGCTCAGCTTTTGTCTCTAGCCCAGGGCACAGAGGCCATAAACAAGTGTGATCCAAAGAACAAGCACCTAAGAGGTGACCTTGTCCCTGACTACCTCTCTGACTAGCCTAGAATCTCCCATCCCACCCCATTTGTAATTCATCCATGTTTACAATAAAATTAAAACAATCTTTTTTTTTTTTTTTTTTTGAGACAGAGTCTCACTCTGTCACCCAGGCTGGAGTGCCATGATGAAATCGCAGCTCACTACAGCTTTGACCTCCCAGCCTCAAGTGATCCTCCCACCTCAGTCCCCTGAGTAGGTCAGACTACAGGTGTGCACCATGATGCCTGGGTTTTGTTTCTTTTTTTTTTTTTTTTTTTCTTGATAGAAGGAGTATCTTACTATGTTGCCCAGGTTGGTCTCAAATTCCTGGGCTCAAGTCATCCTCCCATCTCAGCCTCTCAAAATGCTGGCATTATAGGCTCAAGTCACCATGCCTGGTCTGAAATAATTTTTGAGGTCAATCTTCTGTGATGGTTATTGGCATTTAGTATGTGCTTGATAATTATATGTTGAATGGGTGAATAAATGAATATTATCTGACTGAGAAATTACTGGAGTCTCTTAAACAAACATTTTCATACAACAATTATTCTGGGTGAGTATATCTGATTGCTTTCCAACACCTCAGCTGCCACAAAAAGGTTTATGTGGCCCTTGTCATGAGACTGAGCAGAGACACTATCATGTGGCACTGATAGTGACACTGAAGTTTCCAGAAGCCAAGTGGCTCTACAAGCAAGAGAAACTCTGAGAGGCACAGAGGATCCATGGAGTTCATAATGGTTCCTGAGGTCTGCCACTTAAGGGACTTTCTGTTCTCTCCATGAGGATTCACAAAATGTAGAGGCAAGGGCAGCTTGTTGCTGCAAAGTGTTACATCCCAGAATAGGGACAGAGTCAGTTAGTTGGCAATTGCCAGCTCATTTGGGTCATTTAGACTGAGTTTCTCATGGTACCCGCGGAAAGGTAGAGAGTACCTAAAGGTCTTTAGTGTACTCACTGAATAGGTGACATAATAGTTTCCCTTCAGGAAACCCAGTGGATAAAATGTCTCAGTGCTGAGAGTTCAAATCAGCCAGAACATTGGCTAATGCAAAGGCCTGGATCTCAGGTTCCTAGTAGAATATGAAGCCCAGTGGCTGTTTTAGAAGTCTGTGACTGTCTTAAATGCATATTTCTACCTGAAGTACATAAGAATGACACTTCTTCCCTCCCCCTTCTCATGTTGTCATTCATACCCAGTCTTGGAAAAAACATCACCTTGTCCTGAATCTACACTGCACTTAACCTATTTGTTTGCTGCATTCTTCAAGAGAGGGAAAAATCAGTTTCACAGATAAAAACAGGTCTGCACAGTCCTTCTGGCAGAGTCAAAGAGGTGGCATCAACATAAAAGATTTTCCTGATCAGCCCCTTCTATAAAATACATCTACCTTCAGAGACGTTCCTCCCCAGTGGCACCATCCTGGTAATGGGAAATAATATCCCCTTGAGAAGACATTCTGTGTGTCTGTGTGTACATTTTTTTGGAAGATGAAAGATGATGTGGAGGATCAGAAAATAAATATTCTTTTTGTTGCCTATTTCATGAAATGATAAATGGTTTCATATATGTCTCAAATGAATGTGAGCAAACATCTGCTCCATCTGATTTCACTAAAGTTAGAAAACAGTAACTTCAATGAAAAAAATCTGAATTTTGAGTTGAAGATGATTTCTTGCACCTTATTTTGAAATAGTTTTATATATCTGATGACCATGTTTGACTTTTCAACTTTGACATTCTTAAAGCATCTGCATTTATTGCAAAAAACACATCCGGGAGGTCTATTTTGATGATTCCTTATCATCTTCATATGAAATTGTTTAATCCAAAGAGGGCCTAGCTTCATATATATTTACTGTTCAAATTAGCAATGCTGAAGGCATATACCAAAAAAAATGTTTTAAGGTGGGTAGTAGGGGAGGTGGAAGATTATTTAATTATAAATACCCAATTTCAGACCCTATAAAAGAAGATTCTGTGCATGTTAAATCAGTTATATGACAAGAATCTGTAGAAAGTTATGTAATAATTACCTTCTTTTTCCTATTTCTTGGAGGATTATGCAGAAATCCACTCTGAAATACAAAAAGATTCAGGTACATGGTCAGCCTGTGTTTCTGTTTTCTGAGTCTGGCTTTTCCAACCTCCTCCCAAATATTTCTACCGGAATGTTCCACTGCCAGCTCAAACCCAAGGTGTCTGGTTGAGAAACCATCTCCCTCTCTTCGCTTGTGCTGCTTCTATACTTTAATCAATAGAAGCCAGAAAATCATCTTCAGGACCATTTTCCCTTTGCTTGTGCTTCTTTACTAAATCCTAAGAGTTTTAATAATCTCCTACCATCTATCACCTCTTTTTTAGTCCCACCAGTGCCATTCCAACTGGAGTCTCTACACCAGAGCTATCCAAGCAGCACACAATTACTGCATGCTACTGGGTGTCAATCACTCCGATCAATCTTGGACATATGAAGATGGGAAAACCTAAAGGGGTCTACAGACTAAAAGCACTCACAAAAGAATAAATATAAAACAGTGAATGAAAGGCCTTAGTAGAGGGCTCAGGAGTCCTGGGAAGGGATGACCCATGGCCAACTCAATGAACATTCAGGAAGGGGTAACACTTGAGCTGAGCATTCTAGATTGAGTATAGGTTTGCTGGTGGGGAAAGCCTGATGGCTGCCTAAAATACTGTTTTATGGCCAGGTGCGGTGGCTCTCACCTGTAATCCCAGCACTTTGGGAGGCTGAGGAGGGCTGATCACTTGATGCCAGGAATTCAAGATCAGCCTGGCCAACATGGTGAAACCTCATCTCTACTAAAAATACAAAAATTAGCCTGGCAGGGTGGTGCACAACTATAGTCCCAGCTACTTGAGAGGCTGGGGCACAAGAATCACTTGAACCTGGGAGGCAGAGGTTGCAGTGAACCGAGATCAAGCCACTGCATTCCTGCCTGGGTGACAGAGCAAGACTGTCTCCTACAAATAAATAAATAAAATAAAATATTGTATTAAATGTCATTTCTAATCCTAAAAGATTTCACTGAATCCTTGTTATCTCAGATATAGGTTTGATCTCTTCAGCCTGGCATTAAAGCCCTCTACAAACTGCCCCAATTGTTGGATTATGCCTAATTGCACACAACCTGTCTACATAAATCCGCAAAGCTACTTTTGCCATGGTTCTAGTTTTCATGCCATTCTGGCTCGTATGCCATTCTTTCTCTGAAGTGTCTTCCTCCACTGCTTGACTATCGACTCTCTTCTTTCTTTCAGTGCACAAAGCTGTCTGCATGTACTCTAGTCAGAGTGACCCTTCCCTCCTCCAAGCTGCTGTGTCTATCCCGATGGAGTTCCTGGTACAACATGGATGTGCTGCACTGGAGTGTGGTTATGAATGTGGAGTCCCTCTCTCCTGAGTGAAAGGATCAACTCCCTGGCATCAAGGCTTTAGCTATGACCTAACACACATTTGGTGAATAAACAGTGACCTCATTATTAGCGAACAACAAGAAGGGGCACAGGTCTGGCCCCTTGTCACTGGAATACCTCCATCAGCCATCGTAGGGGCCACCCGCCACAGCGCACACTCAGCCTCCAGTTCTTTGATCTTGCGTGGCCTCCTTTGATTTCAAATTCCCTGGGGGTGAACCAATTTCCATCCTCACTCTGTATACACTTCACCAAGATTCCTGTAAGACCAGGGTAAGTTGATCCTGAGCTCTCTTTGTTCCCAGTGCTCAGACTGTGGCCACTCACCAACTGATCACACAATTTGTGATCCGGATCAACAGCAGGAGGGTCTGCCCTTCCCTCTCAAGCTTCAGAGGCCCCAATCCAGCCTGAAAGTCCCCTCTAAGGATATTTCCTGTGAGGGTACACATTTGTTTGACTTTCATCCATGAAGAAAGTGATAGTTATATCAAGAGCATCCTTTTAAGTGTTTCAAAAGCACTTACAGAAGGAAAAGCAAGTGATTCCGAAAGATAAGAGGATTCCAATTTGCTATTCAAATTTGGAAGTAGAGACCAGGCCTGAGTCTCCAGATGGCTCTGAGGGCAATGTTGGAGGCAGATCCTCAACTTGTGGCTACTGTCTAAGATGGGTGCCCTATGGCTCAGGGGGCCACTCCAGCAACCTCTGCACTCTCAACAATAACATATTTTGTGCAGTTTAATGGCATTATTGAACAGAAGTTTTCACATCTCTGCAATCATGGGTAGCTGATATTTAAAAACTAATTGTGAAATGTTATCCAATAAAAAAATTTAATGTTTGTGTAAAAGATAGCCACACGCTCAACACCATTAGTCATTAAGGAAACACAAAGCAAACCCACAATGAGATACCATGTCACACCCACTAGGATGATTGTAATAAAAAACAGGCAATAACAAGGCTGGCGGGCATATAGAGAAATTGGAGCCTTCAAACATGGCCGGTGGGAATATAGAATAGTGCAGCCACTGTGGAAAACACGTTGGTGATTCCTCAATAGGTTAAACACAGAATTACCATTTGACTTAGTAATTCCTCTCTTGAACATACACCCAAAAGAACTGAAATATGTTCACACAAAACTTGTTACACATATGTTCAAAACATTATTTATAATAGCCAAAGAGTGAAAATAGTTCCAAATAATGAGTTTATAAACAAAATGTAGTATATCTATACAATGAAATATATTATTTGTGAATAAAAGGAATGAAGTACTAATACAGTCACTGTGGATGAACTTTGAAAATATCATGCTCAGTGAATGAAGGCAGTCAGTAAAGGGCATGTATTATAGAGTTCCATTTATAGAAAGGCCTACAATAGGCAAACTTATAGAGCAGAAAATAGATTAGTGGCTGCTTAGGTGGGAATGGGCATTGACTGCTAATTGGCAAGGGTTTTGTTTTTTTTTTAGTGGGTAACACATTGTCCTAAAATTAGAGGATAATGATGACTGTACAATTCTGTGGATATACAAAAAATAGTTGATTTGGCCAGGCGCGGTAGCTGAAGCCTGTAATCCCAGCACTTTGGGAGGCCGAGGTGGGTGGATCACAAGGTCAAGAGATCGAGACCATCCTGGTCAACATGGTGAAAACCCCATCTCAACTAAAAATACAAAAAATTAGCTGGGCACGGTGGTGTGTGCCTGTAATCCCAGCTACTCAGGAGGTTGAGGCAGGAGAATTGCCTGAACCCAGGAGGCGGAGGTTGCGATGAGCAGAGATTGGGTAACAAGAGCGAAACTTGGTCTCAAAAAAAAATAGTTGATTTGTACACTCTAAGTGGTGAGTTGTATGATATGTGAACTATATCTCAGTAAAGCTGTTTAGAACTAGTCACAATGCAAACATTTCTATTAATTGGCATCCAAAGAGTCATATTATGAGTAGTCTGAGATGACAGCCATTCTAATAGACATTTTTTGCAAAGTTTCTTATAATTTACAATAAAAACATGTAAATTTATGTCTTTTACATTAATATGTAAAGTAGTTCTCACAGCTATATCATGAGGCAGGTGTTCAATTGTTTTTCTCTCTCTTGGATAAGAAATTTCATGTTCAGAAAGGCCCCTTTTCTCTACCCAGAATGGAACAGTCACTCCTGGCACAGCCGAGGCTGGAACTCAGGCTTCCTAATTTTAAAACCTGAGATTGTCACCCTAAGTCATGCACCCTGCCTTGGTGACAGGACTCCAGAAGGAAGAAAGAATATGAAGGTTGAGGCTGAGGGCCTCTTCCCTTTTCTGTCTGACTCAAGGTAAAATATGTGACATTTTCCATCTGTGAATTGATGTTCCTGCACTTCTCTTTGGTTTTTTGGGCACCCTGTGGACAATCCCTGTGTGAGTGAGAATTTAATGGGTATGATTTCTTAAAGTCTGAAATGTCATCTTAGGGATCCCTTCCTCCTTCCCTCAAGACAAACTGGGGTCAAAACTCCTTGAATGATGTATAATTCACATGATAATTCCCCACTACTTGTGATACCTTCAGATAGGAGCTGCAAATTAAAGAAGACCATAAAACCTACCTTGTTTCAAATTCTTCTTATGTAAAATTCCTTTCACCTCACCACAGGTCACTGGAAGTAAAGGAGCCTTAAAATCCACAGTTTTGTCTTTGCGCTTTCTTGAAGCTGAAAGAGAGGATTTCTTCACTCTGTCTCACTTTGCAAAGGCACATCCCCCCTCCCTACTGAGGTAATTCCTTTATAGACACAAGGGATACTTAGAAAAATCTATTCCAAAAATTTCTGGAGTTTCAAAGTCTTCCTTCTAAGTGGCACTTTTGATACATAACTACAGAATATCTATCCCAATTTCACCTTTCAAATTTCATACAAAATGGAATGCTTTAGCAGAGAAATTAGACTTAGTAAAACTTCTAATCTAGTAAGCTCCACTGATTCTTAAATGATAATGAAACACATTTGCTGTCACTGGTCTGACAGGAGCTCTCCAGCTATGCTGTTTTGCTGCAGGTAAGTAGCCTTAGATGAAGCCAGAGCCCATACTCAGTCTCCCCATTTTAGCACTGACTGAGCAAGCAGGGAGAGGATAATGATGAGATAACCTAATGGAGATGATGTCTGCCTTCTATTTTTGTTCTCTGCTTTTTCACTTCTCCTTTATGTCAGCTTCCCCCATAGCTGAGAGAAGAGCTCAGGGAGCTCTAGAATAATCTGAAAATTATACAGGGTGGCAGATGGAGAACTGGAGACTTGATTTCACAGAAGTAGGGGGTGAAAGTTCTTCAAAGGAACTCCAGGAGGATGAGCAGCAAATCCTGCCCTTCCAACCAAAGATGTAGGGCCAGGCATGATGGCTTATGTCTGTAATCACAGCACAGGGCAAGGCAGGTGGATCACTTGAGGTCAGGAGTTCAAGAGCAGCCTGGCCAACATGGTGAAACTCCATCTCTACTAAAAATACAAAAATTAGCCAGGCATGGTGGCACCCACCTGTAATGCCAGCTACTTGGGGGGCTGATGCAGGAGAATTGGTTGAACCTGAGAGGCAGAGGTTGCAGTGAGCTGAGATCACGCCACCGCACTCCAGCCTGGGCAACAGAAGTCTTGAGAAACAGGGGAGCTGTCCTTGGTCCTGGTACAAATTTTTAGAAAGGCAGACTATTGGGACTGGGCCGGACTAATAAGAAAGATGGTTGGCCTACATACAGAATGGGAGAAAATTTTTGCAATCTATCCATCTTATAAAGGGCTAATATCCAGAATCCACAAAAAACTTAAACAAATTTACAAGAAAAAAAAACAACCTACCAAAAAGTAGGTGAAGGATATGAACAGATGCTTTTCAAAGAAGACATTTATGCGACCAAAAAACATGAAAAAAAACTCACTAACACTGTTCATTAGAGAAATGCAATTCAAAACCACTATGAGATACCATCTCACCCCAGTTAAAATGATGATCTTTAAAAAGTCAGAAAATGACAGATGCTGACAGAGAGGGAAATATGACACACTGGGGCCTGTCTGGGGGTGAGGGGTAAGAGGAAGGATAGCATTAGGAGAAATACCTAATGTAGATGACAGGTTGGTGGGTGCAGGAAACCACCATGGCACATGTATACCCATGTAACAAACCTACATGTTCCAAACATGTATCCCAGAACTTAAAGTATAATAAAATAAAATTTTTTAAAAAGATGCTTGGCCTAATTCATGCTCCTGCTTTCCAAATGAGAAAACTGAAGAAAATAAGGTCAAGTGATCACTTCAAGCCCACACAAAGGAAAAGAAAGTCTTAGGACACAGATCTATAACCACAACTCTGGTTCACCCTTAGCATGCAACCTGTGACTTTCTGTGTAGCCAGAGGAAGGTCAGCTAAGTAACTTATGGGTTATACCCTTTATATGGCAATGGACTATCTCCAGCCATGAAATGTATCATTTCAGCGGAAGTAGCACTTTCGTGTCCCCTGGGCCCCTGGGGTCTGGTTGTAGGTGCATCGCCAACTCACTTCCTTCTTTCCTTGACACGTTTTGGAAATGACTAAATTGGATACATGTCTCGACAGTCAGTTTCATAAAACAATTAAGGAAATAGGTTTACTACTGAAAATACAGCATAAAGCACAGTAAATTAGATGTTTGGTTACTGAAAGTGCATTCCTCTTTTCTTTTTTACCTCTTGTTCGGACTCTTTTCTGTGGAGCTCTGTTACTCTGGGTGAAGCAGACTCTAGGTCCGCCTCTCTTTATCCCTGAGAAAGTAGGATAATATAATCAGAGGCACAGACAAGCATCTGTATTATACATATTACTGCTTTTCAAAAATTCCATTTAAATGTAACTTTCTGAAAGCCTGTTGAATGCATAAATAAAAAGATTTAAACCCTAGCCTTTAAAGTATGAAGAATTAGATGGCTAATATTAGATTCACTTTATATTTCATTTTCCTATTCTCACATTAGAAAAAAACTAATTGAAATCACTATTTCACATATATCTCAAGCAACAGTATAAATGCTTCATTCCATATTTTGAAGGTTCATTTCACATTTTGAAAGTTCATTTCATATTTTATTTCAAATATACATATTTGAAATATATATGGCATATAATATATGTTAAACACTTATACACCCACTAATTTATTTAATCTTTGTAAGATCAAAACGATGACTGCTGTCATTACAGAAACTAAAATATTCAGAGAAAACTGAGACAAAACTACAAAATTAAGTGAAGGCATTTGGGTTTTTCTTAGCAGAGACACAAATAAATGACAATTTTATGAGTTAAGGGAAACCCTATCAGGTGGTGAGAGGTGTGCTACACATATCACATTGAGGGAAGATATTTGTACCTCTGTGCTCAAGACAGGAAATAACTCATCTAGGAGGAAGACTTGAAAAGGCAATAAGAGAATAACCTGTATCTGCTCACAGGGAAATTTGCCAGGTCCAGCCATTTTAATAAACCAATGATGTAAGGCAAGGAATTTCCAGGAAAATCATATAAAACTGGGCAGATAAGATCTATTATATGAATATAATCAACTTACAACCTTGGCTTCTAATGGGTTTGCTTTTTTTAGATTTCACTGCTCTCAAATTGACTAAGCTTGACAAGTAAACAATTAAGGAGGATCTAAGCTCATCAATATCTCAGTAAAATTTGTATTGACCTGTAGAACAAAAGGAAAGTGGCATAAACTTTTATCTTACTCCTAATCTTGGAAGGGCCTTGGAGATTCACGTTCGCCTTCTTTTCACTGGACATCAACTGGCCATCAGCTTTGCCGTTACCTGGGGATAGGCAGGGGGAAATATATTAATAGAAAAGGGCAGAACAACAGCTGACAGGCTGGACCAAAAGCAAGTGAGGGAGTCCTGGGTTTAATTCTGGATCCTCTTTCTTTAGACACTCAGACACGGAACCTCAAGCAGGTGTCCAGAGCATTTTCTGCTTGAGGAGTGTCAGCTTTTTAATTACACACAGGATTTAATTGCACATCGAAGTACCTTAGACTTTGTCTACACACACACAGACTTAAATGAAAAATGTTATAATGATTCGGTCCAGACAAATTTTTAATTTAAAAACACCGATTCTTAAAATGGATGCAGCCACCTTTTTTCCTTTCCAAACAAAACTATACACATCCACCAACCAAGCAGCCACATCAACTGGCAAGAATAGAAGATATATAGTTTCATACAAATTAATAATTTTCAATTAGACTCTAAAATTTTATTATTTAGATCCACCGATTTAAAATTAACCATCATTTGGAAAATGAGACTTAAGCCTTCATCGTCTAGAAGAAAGGAAGTCCTCAGACCATGACTAAAATAAATAAGATTTTAGGGGTCTGATTATAAAGAATATAATTATAGGAAACTCAGAAAATGAAATGGTATGAAACACTACCATCTGGATAGCCACAGATGATGATGGCTATCTCCAGATGATGATTTGTTGAAATATTCTCCTAGTCATTTCTTTTTGCATATGTTACTTTTTAAAGAACACTTTTTCACTACAAATGTTGAGGATTTCTAATATTTTAATACACATACATACGTTTAAAAACCGCAAATAAAAATATAAACATCACTGACCAAATGTAACCACTGCATATATTTTTATGAATGAACTGCCACGGATTTTCTCTGTATTTATGTCTCTTTATATGTAGAGATAATTACATATGTATATATAAGGATTGATACATAAAAACATACTTCACAAGCATAAATTTCACATAAAATACAGTTATACATATATGTATAACTTACAATTACATATATAATTATATATGTATAGTTTACAATTGTACACACATACCTTTCTTTATTTAGCCCTCTTGGGAACATTTTCCAAATTAATAAAAATTTCTTGAGCTAGAAAAGAAAGTCATACTGAGGATGATAACACCTCCCTGTTAACTGTGGATCTCCGGACTATTAAATGCATGAGAAACCATTTTGTTGAGGCCATTGCATTCTCAGGCCTCTTTGTCACAGCCTGTTAGTCTACATCCTAACTGATACAGGAGGTACAGACCCATCCTGGCCCTCAGGAACTGCAGGCCTTCAGGAATACAATGGGCAGTGCCCTAATAAACTCAAAAGCTGTAACTACTTCAGTCTGCCTGCTTACCATTCTGTTGGATTTTTTTCTGCGTTGTCCTTTTTATTCTGGTCCAGGAATGCCCCTTCTTTTTTCCTTCAAACCAAAGAGAATAAAGTTACTTATGCAGAGGTATAAATATAATTCTCTGAGTTTTATATGCCAGTAGTACTCAAGCTTATTTTTCATATTTAGGTTCACAGGAATGGGGCAAAATATGATCAGTGTAGCAATGTGGAGGTTGAGTATAGAGTTCTGTTTTAACTTGGTGTGAGCCTTGGGCCATGGGTTTGGGAAACTATAGGAGATGATCTTCCTTTGAAGAAAATTTTTGATGGAAAATTAACTCTTGCTGCCGCCTTAGAGTGAATGATAACTGCTGTTGCTTGTTCCCTTTTCAAGTGTTTGTTGTGTAAATTCAAATGTGCAATGAGAAGGCACAGTCCTTGAAGCTGATGATGTTATAGATAATATTCTCTAATGAAAGTTGAGAGATATTCTGAGCTCTAATGTAGAGAATTTTCATTATGTAATCATGTAATCATTATAGAATGTCTATATAATTTCATTAAGCAATCTCAGCGGTGCCTCCACCCTGTCAGCCCTCCTTCAGGCTGCAGAGCAGCTGACTCCAGGAACGCTATTGTGACCCCAGAAACTCATCAGTGTCATGAATCTGGCCATCTGGCCCATTTTCAGTCTGATGTGCCCCTTATCAGAAAAGTGACTCCACAATCACTGATTTTCGGAATGTCCCTCATCTCCTCCTGTTCACACACCATGAAAGGGCAGGAGGCTCACCGAAGGGAGCAGTCCCCAGGAAGGGACCATCTCCTTCCTGGATAGTGATCAGGACGAAGGTGGTGGGGGACTGTGAGTGCTCTGTAGATCTATCTTGAAAATTCAGGATTCTTTTGTGACCATTCCTAGGGATGATGCCTCATTCTTTCTCCCTAGAAGCCTGATGGGCACAGCCTTCAGAGTTCCCAGGGGATTCAGAATTAACTCCAGACACATTTTATGAAAATGCTTTTGCTCTACTTCTATCTAATTTTGTAGATGGATGCTCTAACTGAGAAAAGGAGATGATTAGGATAAAAGATGAAGGTACAGCCACTGGAATGGTACAGCAGATTTTGCCGCAGTGAACCAAGAGCAAACATCGAGACATGTGAAGAGGTATGGGGGAAAGAGGAGTACTGGTGATATCTGTCTTTCAGAAGTATCCATGGATCCTTTGTCCAGAAGGAAAACACCCTGCTCCAGTGCTCCCGCCTCTGGGAATACTGAGTCGGCCTCTCTGCACCAGCCATGAGATAGCAGGGGCTGGTCCCAGCTTCTGAAGTCCCACACAGAACCCTCTAGACACTGTCCCCACCCCTAATCTCAATCACTTGTTAGAGGGCGACTGACACCTGGTTGGTGTCATGGACAAAGAGGACAGATTGAACAGACTGTCCTCAAGCAGTCCCCCCACATGCCCACCCTCCCCCCTACACACAAAAACAAATCAAAGATTGAACACAACAAACAGAACTGGGAACTTCAAGGCTTATAGCCAGCCAGGAGCCATGTAGGAGACACTGTTCACCTTTCCCCTGACTAATGAATATCCCACTCAGAGAATCCCAACAACTGTAAACACTTCCTTTCTGGGAGCACCACATGTGCCCTGGGGATTGTGCTTCTTTATGAAAGCCAGGCGTTAACTTGCCTCCCTCATGTAAGGTGACTTGGACCTTTGAGGTGGTTATAAGGGACCTAAATCATTTACAGTTTGTGAAATGTATGTGTGTATATGTGTGTGTAGAGATGGGATCTTGCTACATTGTCCCGGCTAGTTTTTGAGCCCCTGACCTCAAGTGATCCTCCTGCAGTAGTCTCCCAAAGTACCAGGATAACATGAGTGAGCCACCGCACTGGGTCAACCTTTTTAAATGTCATAGGAAACAAATTAAATGGATTTGAACCCATGGGTCTGACTAATCAGAGTGTCTGATGGGTGGTGTCTTCATGGGGAAATTTGCCAGAAGCAAATATGTGGTGTGAGTTTCCTGGGAGGCCATTCTCCATGGCATTTCTACATGCCTCAGAGTATCACCTCAAGGATATTTGAACAGCAAAGCAGCCTTGTAAGGTAGAGATCATGTAGCCTCCAGATTACAGGGCAAAAGTATTCCCTGACCAGTATAAAGAGGAGGACATCTCCCTCAGAAATTTTCCAGAGGAGATGCCTGTGGAAGAGATTTGGCTAAGATCTCCAGAGGAGATGCCTGTGGAAGAGATTTGGCTAAGATCTCCAGAGGAGATGCCTGTGGAAGAGATTTGGTTAAGATCTCCAGAGGAGAGCTGCTTAATATCCCCAGAGGAGAGTTGCCTAAATTCCAGCTAAAAAGATCATGTCTCCCTCAGAGGGAAGGTTGGGCAGGTTTGGTAGCAGTCCCCTTATAAGCCCATGGGTTTCCTCAGTGAAGCATTCCTCCAACGGCAGCACACACCTGTGAGTGCAGCACCCACCTGGGCTTGCTCCACACCACCATTTTCATGGGTCCTTTGGGGAAATAACTGATGCATCTATTCTATATCCCAGCAATTGTGTTTCTAGGTATTTATGCAAGAGATATGGAAAAACAGAAAGACTCGTACAAGAATGCACTCAGGGGAGTTTTCATAATAGCAAAAAACTGAAAATACTCGAGGTGTCCAACAACAGGAGAATTAAAAACAAAATTTGGTATGTTCAGATAATGTTCTCCACTTAGCAACAAAAATGAACAAACTGCGAAGACATCCAACAATATGGATGAATCTCCAAAACATGTCGAGTGAAAGAAATCTCACACCAATGAGAATATGCTATAAAACCTTATTTATACAAAGTTTTTTACAACCCAAATTAAGTTATTATGGTAAAAAAAAAAGAAGAGTGTGATTGCCCCGATGGGTAGTGGGTAAAGATCTACCAGAAAGGGCATAAGGAACTCTTTCCAGGGTGATGGTAATGTTCTGATCTTGATAAGAATTTTGATCTTGCAGAAAAATGCAGTTATAACAACTCATCAAATGGTACACTTAATACTTGTGCATTTCATTGTAAATTTATCTTAACATAAAAACTCTAAATAAGTATTGAACTCTAGTTAATGACATACATGCTGACATATTTTAGGGGGAAGAGTGCTAATGTCTGCAGCCTTGAAATGTTTCAAACTTGACCACCGATTAGTGAGTGGATAGAGAAATGTACAGATAAATAGAAAAGTGATAAAGCAGGAATGATACAGGGTTAATTGTGAATCTATGTGAAAGTATATTGACGTTTAGTGTACAATTCTCCCAAGTCTTCTGCATGCTTACAATTTTCATGATAAAATTTCTGGGAAAAAAAGCTTTTAGAGAGAAAGGACAGAATATTTACCAAGAATTTAGAGTTACAATAAGAGAATAATTTTTATCAGCCACACCATAGATTCCAGAATATAATATAGTATCACTTTACTATACTGAGAATAAATAAATATAGACCCAGAATTTTAACCTATTGAAAATGTTCCATCAAAGTAAAGACAAATTTGTACGTGCAACACTCAGCAAGTTTACCACTTAGAGATCACTCACTAGAAAAACCAAAGAATTCACTTCAGCTAGAAAAAAAGTGAATCCAAAGAAAAAAGAACAATGGTGAGTACACAAAATAATTTTTTAAAATTAAGTAAACATCCACTGTAAAAAATGATAATAGTTTCAAGTTTTATAGTTAAAAATAAAATATTAAACAATAGCCAAAACTTAGAGATGGGGGGTTCAATTTGTAGTGAAACCATGAAAAGATCCTGGTCATCTTTTGGGATTGGGGCATAATTTAAAAGATTACAGTTATTTTATCTTTTTAATTTCCAAACCAGCAGAGAGAAAAGGAAGACTATATAGTTATATGCCAATGCATTAGAAAACAGGAAAGAGATGTGAAAAACACAAATAAAGAATGGTCAACACACAGGGAGGGGAATGTCACACACTGGGGCCTTCGGGGTGGGGGACTAGGGAAGAGATAGCATTAGAAGAAATACCTAATGTAGATGATGGGTCAATGGGTGCAGCAAACCACTGTGGCACGTGCATACCTATGTAACAAACCTGCACATTCTGCACGTGTCCCAGAATTTAAAGTACGTGTGTGTGTGTGTGTGTGTGTTTGTGTGTGTATAAAAGAACAGTCAACAATGCCACAGAAGATATAGGTTCATATACATCTGGAATCTCAGTATACATATACATCCAGAATCTTAATAAATGTAAACAAATTGAAATTTACCTATTAAGAAACTAGGATTATCAGACAAAATTACAAAAATTAAGTGCAGTTACAAGAGACATAAAAGAAAGCTGAGCAAGAGGGAATTACATAAAGTGAGTGAAAATATTTTGAAAAAACATAAAAGTTTGTGTAACAATGTTAGTACTCAGCAAAAGAGGTTTTTTTTTTTTTTTTTTTTTTTGAGACGTAGTTTCACTCTTGTTACCCAGGCTGGAGTGCAATGGCGCGATCTTGGCTCACGGCAACCTCCGCCTCCTGGGCTCACGTAATTCTCCTGCCTCAGCCTCCTGAGTCTGGGATTACAGGCACACGCGCCACCATGCCCAGCTAATTTTTTGTATTTTTAGTAGAGACGGGGTTTCACCATGTCGACCTGGATGGTCTCAATCTCTTGACCTTGTGATCCACCCGCCTCGGCCTCCCAAAGTGCTGGGATTACAGGTGTGAGCCACCGCGCCCGGCCCAGCAAAAGAGATTTTAAGGCAAAAGCATTAATAGGGATAAAGCAGAATGCTGTATAATGATAAAAGAAAAACATCCATTAAGAAGTTATAACATCATGAATAGCCTCAAAATATATAAAGTAAAGCAACAAAATAAGGAGGATTGGAAAATACACAACCATGTATGAGAATTTAACATATTTGCATGCAAATCTAATGGGGCAAACAAAACTTAAATTACTATGGACACAAATTTAAACAACAAAGTTGTGCTTGATAAAGATGTACATGGAGTGAAGTCAGAGCTTAACAAGTAGTTAAAACGTACATTAGTC